TCCTCCTCCTCCTCCCTCATCCCAGCTCTTCCAGCTCCAAGCCCTTCCCTCTGGTTCTTCCACTCCAGATCCTGCTAAAATCTGGGAATACCAATCTGCCCCAAACACCCCCCCCAGCACCAAACCCTGCCCCAGGCCCAGCTGTGGGCTCCTGAATTCCTCCTGGCACCTTCCCACCCACGCAGATCCCACAGGGAACATCTCGGTGACTGAACGGGAATCCCAGATTTTGTGGGGAATGTTTGACTAAGCCGGGCCTATTGTGCACTCTGAGAACCACCACGGGTTCAATGCTTTGAACAGAAATCCCTAAAAAACGAGGGTGGAGCTCCCCAGCAGAGCACGGAGTCAGCATGGAAGTGCTGTGGTGGAGGAATCCCAGAGGGAACGTTCCCTCCTCCGCATTGCCAAGCCCCGTGTGACAAGAACGGGCTCTGCTGCCGTGCTCCACCGCTGGAATTTGGGAGAAAGGGAACCAGCAGGAATCCATGCAAAGGGATGAGTCAGAGCCGAGCTCATTGTGATGTGTGGGAGACTCTGCCCTCGTTAAAGGACAGGGAAATTTTTCACTGCACAAGTGAAAAAAATGTGGAGATCCCAGGTGATGCCAGCTCAGAGCAGTGGCTGTGCCTTTGGAAATGTGATTAAAGCTCCACGAAAAACACTGAAGAGATGCTGGGTTAAAAAAAAAAAAAAGGGGGGATTTCTCTTCAACTGCAGCAATTCAATAAATAAATTAAAAAAAAAATTAAAAAGTTTTAGAACACGACTCCCCAAATTGCTGCAGCTGGATTTAAATCCATCTTTTTGCGGCATCCAAGAGATCTTGGAACCTTCTGAGCTTTCACTTGGATAAAAATTTGCTGCTCCACCGAGATTTGGGGAGCAAAGATTTGTCCTTCAGCGATTCCCATCAGCAGCTCCCCATGAAAATCCCACAAACCTGAAGCAGCCCAAGGATGGATGCTGCAGCTGGAACAGGTCACAACCATGAATTATTTTTCCCAAAAGGCATCACAACCAATTTTTATTGCAACAGGCATTTTATTGGAGCAGCCTGGGATGCAGGGAAATGTCCCTGCCCTGGCAGGGGAAGGGTTGGGATCGTTCTGGAGGATTTTGGGAAGCCCCAAAATGAAGGAGGCAGAGCCATGGGAGCTGCAGAGCATCCCCAGTGCTCGCCAGGATCCCAGCCCCTGGAATCCTCCTGGATTCCTGCGTTTGTAAAAGTTTTCCCGAAAATTTTCATCCTTAAAGAGTGCCAAGAATAGAATAATTACGAGAAAAAAAAAAAGCTAGTTGAAGAAAAGGATTTTTATGTAGTAATCTAAATTCCATTCTCCCGAGCAGGTGATCACTGTAACATCAAAGCCACAAGGAAACTCTCTCGTAAAAAAAAATCCCTTAAAGAGAAGAAAAAAAAGTCTCTTCTTCCAAATAAATTGGTGAAAGTCTATTTTAAAAGTAGTAAACTGACTAAATTATTTTCTGTGCGTTTTCAGTGTAAAAAAAAAAAAGTGTATGAGAGGAAAAAAAAAAGTCTAAAGTTTTATTCTAAGCTTTTTTTCTCATAGTTTCTAATAAGGAAGTTTCTCTTTGTACCATTTAAAGTTAAGCCTGCAATCCTGTCTCACACAAAAAAAAATCAAATTAACAAAAAAATTAACAACAAAAATTCAAATTAACAAAAAAAATTAACAACAAAAATTCAAATTAACAAAAAAAAAATTCAAATTAATAAACCAAAACCACTACATTTTCCTTCTGAGGTTTCTGTCAAACATTCAAATCTGAAGATTTGAAACGATTCAAATATTTTAGGAACTCTCCATCCTTGTGAGGTCACAGCCAGATCCTTCCCTGGCTGTTGCCATGGGAACAGATGGATTTTTTTTTTTTTTTCCCCCAAAAATTCTTCTACTTTTAGCTGCTCTGCTCATCCAAATCCATTCACACCGAAATCTTTGGTTCTCCACTTGAAAACCCGGATATATTTGATATATTTTACCTTTTTTCCCCCTTGCACTGAAAAATCCCCAAGTTTAAAATTGCTTCTCCAAATTTAAATGTCACAACCCGGGGGTTGGAAATTTTTTTCGTAATTCGGTATATTCGTCTTTTTTTTTTTTTTTTATATTTGAAAACCCACACTTCTCGAGGAGAGGGGGGAAAAAAATATTTGAATTAAAAATTACAAATCTTGGACTCACTTTCCAATGGCATTGGGCAGGATTGTGAGCTGGTTGTCATCCACTTTCAGAGTTGTCAGTCTCTTCAACAACCCTGCAGGAAAAAAAAAAAAAGATGGATTAAAAAAAAAAATTCCCCTGGGGATTTCCTGGAATCCCAGAGGCACTGATTTCTAACCCTGCTCTGGATTTATTTTAGGAAATATCTTTCCAAATGGATTTATTCCTGCTAAATACACTCTAAAAAAAAAAAAAAAAATCTGGGTAGAAAACCACGGAATAAAAATCCTGGGATTGCTGGGAAGAAGCAGAAGAACAAGATGGAAAATAAGAAGAGAAGACACCCAGTAAGGGTGTCATTAATTAGCAGCGTTAATTAGCAATCCACGTTGGATTTTGAGTAAATTGATGTAAAATGGAAGAATTTTCCAGTTCAAAGGGAAAAGGGCTCAGGACTGTGAGGAAATGTCCGATGGGCAGGGGGATGTCCCGACAGCCACTCAGAGCCCAAATAATCCTGGGAATCCATGAAAATAAAATAAAATAATAAAATAAAATAAAAATTCATATTTTGAATGATTTCCTTTTTGTTTCCCTTTTCCATTGTGAATGAGCAGCAATCCCATCGTGGCTCTCGTGCTGATTTTTACGTTTAAATCAAATTAATTTTTTTTTCTTTTTTGGCTTCTTTTCCTTTAAAGAGGAAACCAGGTGGGTCAAATCCTTCCAACCAGGGAATATTCTGCTCCTGGATTTACAAAGTGGGAATAATGGGCAGACAGAGTTTCCTGCCATTAAATCCCGAAGGAGGCAGGAAATGCTCCGTGATTAGAAAAATCCTATAATTAAAAAAAAATAAAAATTAAAAGAATTAAAAAAAAAATTTAAAAAAATTAAAAATCTCTAGAATGGAAAGGAATGCTCACCTATGGAATCTGGAAGCATTTCCTGCCTCCTTTGGGATTTAATGGCAGGAAATGCTCTGTGATTAGAAAAATCCCATTACTCCAAAAAAACAAAAAAAACCCCCCACCACCAACAAAAAAAATTTTAAAAAAATTTTAAAAAATTTAAAAAAAATGTAAAAAATTAAAAAAAAATTTAAAAAACTAAAAATCTATAGAATGGAAAGGAATGCTCACCTATGGAATCTGGCAGCATTTCCTGCCATTCAATCCCAAAGGAGGCAGGAAATGCTCCTTAATTAGAAAAATCATATAACTAAAATACCAAAAAAACACAACAACAACAACCAATTTTTTAAAATTTAAATATCTATAGAATGGAATCTTCACCTATAGAATCTGGAAGCATTTCCTGCCTCTTTTGGGATTGAATGGCAGGAAATGCTCCGTGATTAGAAAAATCCCATAATTCCCTCCCAAAAAAATAAAAAAAAAAAAAAAAAAAAAAAAAAAATTAAAAAATTTTTAAAAATTAAAAAAAAATTAAAATTTTTTTAAAAATCTCTAGAATGGAAAGGAATGCTCACCTATGGAATCGGGCAGCTGCTGCAGCATGTTGGAGGAGAGGAGGAGATCCTCCAGCCCCTCACAGCCCGAGATGTCCAGGTCCACTGTCTCGATCCTGTTTTTGGACACATCCAGGTACACGAGCTGTTTTAACTTCCCTATAGACTTAATAGCACGTGAGACAGAGTTATTGAGCAGCTAGAGCTGTTAATTAGAGCGTTAATTAATTACAGACAAACACACAAACCCAGCTGATCTGGGGTTTTCTCAGCACCCTTCGTGTTGTTGTTCTCCCCTGGGTGGGCTCGGCCTCAAAGGAGCAAAATTAAAACCCCCGCCCCCCAAATTAATTAATGTGCTCCAAATTAATCAAATCTGCTAAATTAATCAAATCTGCTGGAATTTGGCGTTCCCGGGCATGCAGTTAAATTATTTCTCCATCTGGATCCGGATCCAAGGGATGTTCCCAATTCCCACCTCCCACCAGGCAGGTGGAGCTTTTCCGTGTCGAACCATTCCCTTAACTTTTATAATTAATTAATTAATTAATTAATCAACTAATTGGTGACTCTCTGCACCCGCCCAAGGCAACGCACGTGCAGGTGTTGCCTGGCAGGTAAAACAGGTCACCAAATGACCCAACAATTCCCTAAAATAAATGTCCATACCCCAGGTAGAACTTGCAAGGAATTATTGTCCATCCACAGCTCCTTTAGGTTCTGGATTTGTTCAAGAACCTCAGGCTGAGGAAAAGAAGAAATAAATTATGGGCAGCTAAATAAAGCAACGTGTCTTTTGTGAAATAAAAATCGATGTTTTCTTAAAAAAAAAAAAAAAAAAATAAAGCTTCCCTTTTTCACTTCCCTTGGGGTTTTTTTATGACCCACCTGAGCCTTCCAGGTGTTTAAGGACAGGAGGGGAAAGTTCCCTGTGAGCAATTTAACCACTTTTTATTGTAAAATATGAGAACTTTTTGTAAAAAAAAAAAAAAAAAAGAGCCCAAAGGACACATCCTGGGGAGATTTGGCAGAGAATGGGCACTGGTAAAACCTGGAATTGTAAAATTCAACTTTCATCTCTTTTATTCCCTTTAACCCTTCAGGGTATTGGTGAGAAGAGCTAAAAAAAAGCAATTCCCTAAATCACTCCTCACTCCTTCCAGCTGTGAAATTCCAGAATGACAAATCCAGCTCACAAATATTCCTCAGCTTTCCCCAGCAGTGTTTTCCTTTCCCACAAAACATTTTCCACAGCAAAACATCGCTCGGAATTTGCCTTCGCCCTCTCAAGTTGCAGAGATTTTATTTTTTTTTTTTCCCAAAGCCTGCCAGAACCTGCTATTAAATATTCCAGGAAATAATATTCCATTCCAAATCAGGGTCCAGCATTTGGAAGCAGTACAATTCCCCTGGAATTATTCCAGCAAAGGCAGAAACCAATGGACCTGCAGACCCTAAGAGAGACCTCGAGTCGTCCCACGTGGTCTGGTTTGGAATGTTGCCATTCCCAGGAAAAATCGGATTTTTCCACTTGCCCAGGGAATCTGGGAGAAGCTCCTGGTGCCTCATCAGATGAGCAGAACTCATTCCTTGTTTTCCACATCTCCACACAACGAGTTCCTATTCAAAACTAGCGGTGAGCATTTTTAAGGATGATTAATTTTGCCTCCGTTAATTCCATGGAAATTCTGCTGTCCTCCAATGATTAAAACCACTTCTCATTTCCAGGCTCAATTGATTAATGGCCATTTGATGCCATTTGTTCCCGTGCTGATGAATGTTTCTTTATCCCTCTGGAGTGCTCACGGGCTGAGGTCATTATGGAAAATCATCATTTCCCCCCCTCTCAGCTTTAATTTGCTCTTCAATCCCTCTCATTAACAGACACCTTTCTGCAAGGCCCGCACGGAGCACGCTCTGATGGGGAATTCCTTGCACTGGAATTTCCCAGGATGATGGAATTTCCCATCATGGAATTTCCTACATGATGGCACACCATGATCCAGAGGAGATCTCGTGGATGGGCAGGTATTAAAGTGCCATTAAAACCTCATTTTCTCTGTTAGAAATGCTTTGGGTTTGGGTTTGTTCGGGGAATATTCTCATTTTCCATAGAAGTGGCTGCAATTGGAATAGAGTAGAATGGGAATAGGAGTGGAATAAAATATAACAGAACAACAATAGAATAGCAACAGGAATAGAATAGGGATAGGGATGGGAATAGGAATGGGA